TTTAATTTATTATTAAAATAAAAATACAATTTTTAAGTGGAAAGCACAAACATATATGTAAATTGAAATATTTCGCTTGGAAAGTACTGTCTGTTATTTATTTTGTTATTTCACGAAAAAGACTTGTTTAGACAAATTTTCTTTTAAATAAATTTAATAATATTAATAATAATAATATAATAAAAAATAAACAAACTGATTTCATAATTATTATTAATCATTTTAACACTAATTTATGATATATTAAACTAATAATATCCGTGGCTCCACCTGAAGGAGAGCGACCAATCTCTTTTGCAAAGGAGTTTCACTTTAGTATTACATAGCATAAGCTATAGACACAGAAGTAAAGTAGTATTGCGTATATATATTTCTATACGTGTATATATCAGTTTGTAGTGGTAGAATGGAAGGAGCTAAGCAGACGAGAGAGCAAAGTCAGTCTCCCGTGGACCTTCCGCGGATACATTGACGTGGTGTAGTTTGTATACTTTATTCCTAATTATTCTAAAATGAAAGTTTTGAGACATCGAATTATTATACTTGAAAGATAATAAGAAATTGTTTAAGTGAGCAAATGTTTTGATCGATTAAAACAACATCACTTTGTGTTGTTTTATTTCGAAATTTTTCGTCACGTAATAATCGACATCATTATTTCGTTTAATTTTAAATTGTGTTGAAATAATAATAACAATTAAAAATTTACTTTACGTCAAATTTTTTTTACAATTGTTAAAGCATTCGTACGAAGAAGATAAAAAAAGAAACCGTAATTTTTTCAATCTTGATTCTACTAATTGTAAGTGTCTAACTAACGTCATCGTTTCTAAAGGAAATAGTAAATTACGTGCTTTTATTCGCGCTGTTTGATCATAGAGGTGGTTTTTCTATTTAAGCGATGTGCATTTAAAGTTCGAGCCTTGAATATATAATCTCGCGGTATATTGTCGGAAGATGACGATGAAGTATAAAAATATATATATATATATAAGTATTATTTTTTTGCATCGTAGAAATAATTATTGAATAAAAAACATAAATTTAGGTATTTATTTGTGTGAAAATCGTTGAACATAAAATTAAATTTAACTTTAACGAAAATTATCGGTAAACCGAATAACTGGTAAAGTCACGGATGACGACATACAGAAGAAAGTCTAATTAACATTCGATGTCGTCGAGTAATTTGAAAGTCGATATTTGCGAAAGACTCCTTTTCCCATCGGAGTTGGTTTCACTTTTTTTAAAAGGACGAAAAAGGGCTAGACCATACCCTCTTTCGTGTGGAAAATAAATCACATTTTTATTCATATGAAAATCAAATTTTTTCACACGAAATAAATATTTCAAATGTTTCGATTAATATTTAATTTATCGATATTTTATGAATACTTATTAATATTGTAAAATGTGTTAAATGATTGATTTTTAATTAAATATTCAATAACAATTGAAGACAGATAATAGTCTAGTAGGTATTTAATAATAAATAAAACAATTAGTATAAAGATATTATTAAAATAATATTAATAATTTTAAATGTTATAAAATCAAATGAAAAAAAAAAAACCAAAAGGGAAGGAAGGAGCGGAGGGGGAAGAGACATTCACCCTTTTCCTTTTGAAAATAGACATGCGATGCAATCGATTCATTTGATCTATTGTTTCGTCCTTTTCTTCTTTCGTAATCGATTAATCGCGCTTTGTTCGTAACATCAATCGTGTTACTTCTTTGTACTTACATACTAACATACCGTGTACACGTACATATAAAGAGAAGAATCCCGGTCTCGATAATCATTAAATCTCTCGATCTTTCGCGATCGTTGCATCGTAACCGGTCGGTCAGAGTTAAAAATAACTGATTAAAAATTATCCACTAACGTAAATTCCTTCATTCTTTTCACAAAGATGATGATGATGATGATGATGTCGATTAACAATGTTTCTTTTCGTATTATTAGTATTATTATTCTTTTTTTTTTTTTTTGTCACGAAAACATTACGTCGTATTTTACAGGTATATATACACGCATACACATAAATGTATAAACACCGATTCAGTGCTATGTCATAAAAAGAAAAAAAAAAATAACGGACAATAGAAAATTACGAAAGTCAAAGTCGAACTCGAAAAGTGCCGGTCATTTTATGTGATCGAATCAAAGTTCATGAATCGCATTAAAATGTCATTAAATGCGAGTAAATGTCTGTTACGATGTAAACGCGTATGTAATAATCATTGTTTTCTTGATTGGTTAGAAGAAGATGCCAGAAAAATCGAACGCATTTTATAATACTTTAATCTTCGATTAAACGACAAGTTTTATATAAGGTTCTACTGAGTGATATTATATTTATTTGAAGTTGTGTTAAAGAAGACAAATAAGAAGATGACGACGAAGGAAAATGTGAGACTTTAAATAAAATTTCTGGCAAATTTTCAAGTAACGCTGTGTTATATGCACGCTCTTGAATGAAGAATCTCTCGTTGGCCAGAGATCGATGCATCAATAAAATAAACGAGAAAGAGAGGAGTGGGAGAGAGAGCGAAAAACGAAATATATTAGAGTGAGATTATAATTGCAATCATGATCACGGATTGGGTAAGATCGTTTGATTCCAATTGTTAATTCATTACAAATTCATTTATTTTTAATAATTTCGTACTCATCCTGTTATCTTTAATCGGTCTTGTTACGGTAAAAGCGTGTATTCTAGTTAAAGGCAACGTTTTAATGAAATTAATTATACTTTCATTCAAAAAGAGAGATAGGATCTATAATTAAAAGATTATTTATTATAAGATCAGCGTTATCATGTACAATTGTATTTGATCATTTTTGTTACAATGTACCATTACTATAAATAAATATAAATAAAAGTATATTTTAATATATTATACGAAGTATATACGAGTTTTTTAAATTGAAAATATTTTTCTTTCTTTTATATTTTTTATTATAAAATATAGTAAAAAAAAATATTTCTTTTCTGTCTTATTGGTTTCTTTTTTCTATGAAAATTTAAGTAGATCGCCAGTCAAGCGGTTAGATGATTCATTCCAAAGGCGTTGTATTGTAATGCATAGACATAATATACTAGTATATATGTATATATATATATCGGTTAAGTTTGTATATGTATACCCTTCTTTACAAAGTGCGTAGGTGCATTGAAAAAGTCGATTCTACGTGAAATAATGTCGGACACCAATGAATTCGCTGATGTGTCATGCTCCCTTTATCCCATGATACTCTCGCGAAAGTCCCATTGACGGTTACTTTCTATAATCTATTCTTGCTGTTCCATCATTTATGGTTAAAACGTTTTTTTTTTTTAACGAGTAGCAACGATCAAAAATATTTGTATTTTTTTTTTTTTTTTACAATAATACATTAAAATACAACCATTTCTAAATTGATGCAAAAATAAGGATACTTAAATTGTAATATATTTGATTGACATAATTACGATGTATTAATTGTTATTATCATCAAGTAATTTCGTTTGATTATATCTAACTAGCAAATTATTATAAGATCATTTATTATTTATTAATATCGATTTGTATATCTAATATAAAATGAAAAAAAAAGAAAAATATAGATAAATAAATCTTAAATAATATAATACCGTTTGATTTTTTCGTCGATGAAACTACCGAACGATGAAGCCTCGAACGGCATTGTTTTCCTTATCGAGTTTGTTCCATCGTACGCGCGACGAAAATGAATAAGGAACGGACAGTATGAAATTATTATTTTACAGCACGTAGCATTTTTAGCTAACTATAATAGAGCTACGTAGCTAGCTAGCTAGCTTGCTTGCTTGCTTGCATTTTTTCGCTTCGTGTTGTTAGTGTGAAATCGACCGGCCGGCCGATTGCTGACAGTAAAAGTCTGACAGTTCTTATCCGGGCATTGATATCTCTTTTTGTTCCTATCGATACTGCAAAGTTTCGATGTATTGTTTTTCGGAAACGTGGATTAGAAATATTTTCTGCGTAAGTTAATTATTCATTGATGAATACCAAAAACTCTAATTCAATTTTTAAATTTTTACAAAAAAAATAAAAAACAAAACAATTTGGTGAAGAGAGTTATAGAGAAATCTATTAATTATTAAAATAAAAAAACAATTAGTGAAACAACACAGTGCGGGTCTCATAATTTCGTGATAAATCACCATCTTATATTATCAAACTATAGTTTCATTTTAGACCAATCTATAGAAATTATAGAAAAATTTATATTTCAAGAAATTAAACTACCTATATATTAATAAAATTATAAATAACAAAAACTGGATTAGTTATTAATTTCTCGATGTGTATGGTTGACGAATATGCTCGCTAATTTTCGGCTAACCTTGTGATTTCTCCATTTCCGGTTTCTTTAAATTGATTATATCATGACATCATTGTTTTATAAAATAGAAATAATGTACCATATTTATTCTTAATGTTAGATATTTAAAGTTAAATTTAGTTATATTTAAAGTAGATTAATATTTCAAGGTTTAGTATAATAATCATAGCTTCAAAATTATAAAATATACTGAAAATGTACTATATAATATTATTGAAATTAAATATCTTCCTGTTAACATCGTAACATTATTTAAAAATTATTTTCTTGAATATTGTGATGATTCATTTGTAGATAATTTTTAATAACTATATTTGTCACGCAATCTCGTATTTACGATATTTTAAAAACGTCCAGGAAAACGATATTTTGTGTAGAATATTTACCTGTCGAAGATAATGTTATCGCTTTGACGTAAAATGTTAAACCGTTTACGAATAAATGATTCAAATAGCCTCCAATAATTTGTCGATAGTATCAGTAATCATTTGAAAGTTTCGAAGGTTAATTGTTCGTAGTATATTTCTCTGGGATAAAGTTTCAAGAACAATGTTTTCGCACTAAAATAAGAAAACAAAGATTAAAAAACAACAAATATTTTCACATTTTATTCATTACTATGTCGTAGCTCGAGTCATGGTTTACCCGGCCCAAAAAATCAGGTCGTGGGGGTGGAGTCAGGAGTGGTACCGATAATAACACAATGCCTCGACCACACTCTGGCGATGATTTTAATGAGATCGAGCAGCAACGTTGTATCATCGAGAAAATGGATGAGGAGGCTGTTAATGATAGGTTCGAAGAAATGTTGGTGAGTATGAACAATAATTAAAAAAAAAAACAAAAAAAATTTTCATATAAATAATTAATGTGCCAAGCAAATGATGTTCTCTATTTTAAAACAAGTCATTTTCAAATTGAAATTGAGATGCATATATGAGTCGTTTATTTTAAAAGTGTTGTAAATGTAATAAATTTAGCAAAAATTCATTAACACTAATTATACTTATAATATAATTGTAAGAAATATTGATTAAAATTTTACAACCAGTTATGGTAAGAATTATTTCGTTTGTTCTAAAAAAAGGATCCGCCATATTTAGTAGAAATATTGTATCAATGATTCGCGTTGGCTAATATAAATAATATTATATATATAATAATTATAAAATATATTTAATAATAATATAAAATTAATTTATATAGGCCAACATGAATTTAACAGAGGAGAAGAAAGCTCCGCTTCGTCAACAATCTGAATCGAAGAAGAGAGAGATGTTGGTATTACATTACAAGGGTAGTATGCAAGAGAATAGATCGAAATTCGACAAACCAGCAGACTACATTCAATACCTAGCTCAACCGGATTTAAGTGTTAACAAGATTCACAATTGCATAGAATCTCTTAGAATTGCACTAACGAATAATCCTTTGAGTTGGGTTCAAGAATTTGGTACGAAAGGATTGAAGCAGGTTTTAGCAACACTCAACGAATGCTATAGAAAGTGAGTACTGTGAACTATGGTATATATGATATTATAATAAAGGATAATGCATATTTCGAATCTCATGTACATTTATCTATTTTAATTGAATTCTTCGACTTTGTCGATTTAACAAATTCTAATCTTTCACTATTTGTTCTATTCCAGTGCCTTCATATATTATGATAGGTAATTTACGTAATTATAAAGAAACGATACTATTTGCTTGTAATCTTTCCGTTTTTATTTCCTTTATAGCATAGTGTTTCTAGGTTTTATGTATATATAAATATATATAAATTATTCGCTTATATTTATTCATACCTTATAAACAATTAATATGTCAATAAAAAAATAGATGATTTATAATATCACATATATTAGGGCAAAGTTTTATGTTATCAGATTGTAGTGATTTTAAATTAATTATGGCTTTCCAGTTTTTCTTTTTTCCTTTTATATAGACAAATATTTTAGCACTTATTTATTTTTGCATGAGAAATGAATTAAAAATTCCTGCTTGCAAAGCATAAAATGATCAATAACAATATAATTATTTCTTTGTGATCTTTCTTTTATTAATTGTTGTATATAATTTTTTTTTAGCGATAATCGATACGAACGAATACAGTACGAATGTATACGGTGTTTAAAAGCCATTATGAATAATACCGTTGGAATAAAGGAGATGTTAGCTCATCACGAAGCTTTGACAATAGTGGCTAGATCGTTGGAACCTACAAAACCATCCGTGATGTCGGAAGCTGTGAAGTTACTCGGTGCAGTCTGTTTAATTTCGAGCGATAGTCATAAAATGGTTTTAGATGCAATCACTATGAATGGCGAGTTCAAGGGAAGAGAAAGATTTTTACCCATTGTACAGGGATTGATGAATAGAAAGAATGAAAATCTAAGGGTGAGTTGTCCGTAAAATAAAATTTTTTATTAATTATTTATTGAGTCGGCCCAATAAGTAATAGAATTTTTAATATACAAAATATTGGAGTTATTTATTAGGATAGAAAATATAAAAAGTTATCAATACAAAATAATTAGTATTATTAATTTTTAAATAGAAATAAGTAAACATTCACTTATTGGTCAATTGAATATGTACTTTTTTTTTCTTAGAAAATGTAATAAAATAGTGTTTATTTTTTTTTCTCTACAGGTAGTGTGCCTTCAACTTATAAATTCGATAATTAATTCTGCCGAGGATTTAGACTTTCGATTACATTTAAGGAACGAAATAATGCGAGTAGGATTAGCGGATATATTAGAAGCTTTAGAAAAGGATAAGTCCGACGATTTATCTCATCATTTAAGGATCTTCAACGAATACAAGGAAGATGATTACGAATTATTTGTACAAAGATTCGATCACGTTCGATTGGAATTAGACGATGTGAATGATTGCTTCGAGGTAGTTAAAAATATGGTAATGGAGACATCTGCGGAGCCGTATTTTTTATCTATACTACAGCATTTACTACTTATTAGGGACGATGCTTTGGTCAGGTACGTATCGAGATAGAAATTAACAAATATTATTTTTCGTAGTATTCAGTTTGTTTGCAAAATGTGTTGACGACTTTCAGGCCAGCTTATTATAAATTAATAGAAGAATGCGTGTCGCAAATAGTGTTACATCGTTCAGGCTGTGATCCAGACTTCAGTGCGACGAAACGCTTTCAAATAGACGTTCAACCATTAATCGATACTTTGGTTGAGAAATCGCGAGCCGAGGAGGAGAGACGTTTAATGGAGGTGTCTCAAAAGTTGGAAGAAGCTATAGCTAGTAAGCAAGAGGCTGAGGCGAAACTTCAACACGCGGAAAATAAAATTAAGGAACTTGAACAGGGGGTCGGAAAAATTGGGGGAGCTAATGCGGTACGTTGTACGGTATTAATACGGAGTGTTAATGATCTTTTTTATTTTTTTTATATTTTTTTTTGATAAATGAAGTTGTGGAAAGTGATAGATAAACATCTAATGTTGGATTTGTGTGCTTAGAAAGCAAATTGTCTAATAATACCACCACCGATATCTGGCGCGAATGTACCACCACCACCACCACCACCTCCACCACTTCCAAACTCAATTGGACCACCGCCGCCACCTATGCCACCTGGAATGGGCGGTATGCCGCCGCCGCCACCCCCATTGCCTGGAACAAAAGGACCACCCGGTATGGGAGGTCCTATGCCTCCACCGATGCCAGGGATGGGTGGTCCTCCACCTCCTCCTATGATGGCTGGAATTACATCCATGATGCCATCATTACCTAATGGATTGAAACCGAAGAAAAAGTGGGAGGTTGAGGGTCGGTTAAAGCGGCCCAACTGGAAGGCAGTTAGTTTACTTTTTTCTTTTTAAAATTTTTTTTTATTTTGGATATATGATATCAATCAAATATTATAAGCGTTCTATCTTTTGTCTTGTAGATATCACCGCATCAGTTGACGGAAGAAGTATTTTGGACAAAGGTGCAAGAAGAGAGATTAGCCGGTCCAGAAATACTCGATGGTTTAGCACAAAAATTTGCGTCGAAACCGAGTGGCAAGAAACTCGACGACGTCGTAGATAAGTGTGTAGAATGTTACCTAAGAGTATTTAAACAGTTAAAAAACATTATATGGTTACTTTTAATATTTTTCTATTTTTAGATCGGCAACAATAAAGAAAGTTAAAGATCTCAAGGTTCTAGATAGTAAAGCTGCACAAAATATATCGATACTTCTTGGAGGTACATTAAAGCACATGTCTTACGAAGATGTTAAGGTGTGCTTGTTAAGATGCAATGGACCAGTTATCTCGGATAACATATTGCAAGGATTAATTCAATATTTGCCATCTCCAGAGCAATTAGCCAAATTTCAACTTTACAAAGATAATTATGATGACTTGACTGAAGCTGAACAATTTTGTGTTACGGTAATTGTGGATGATTGAATTGTTAACAAGCCAAAATAGTTAATTCTATTTTTAGAAATTTTTTAAAATTTTAGTGTCGGAGCGTTTACTTGATTCTTTTATAATGAGCTAAAAATTATAATTGATAATTAAATTTTGTATTTTTATATTTGTAACTTATGTACATTTTTATTATTAGATATCGACGATCAAAAGGTTATTGCCTAGGCTAAAGTCATTGAGCTTTATGCTCAGATACGAGGAATTGGTACAAGACATTAAACCAGATATAGTAGCAGGGACAGCAGCTTGCGAAGAGGTTAAAGGAAGTAAAAAGTTTGCGAAGATTCTCGAATTGATTTTATTGTTTGGAAATTATATGAATTCTGGAGGTGGAGCTTCTGGTCAAGATTTTGGTTTTCAGCTTAGTTTTCTTACCAAGGTTTGTGGATTGAATTGATGTAACAGATGGTCTTAAAAGTTTCTTAATAAGTTTTACATGCACGATATTTTTTATTATATGTTATTTTATTGAGTTATGTATAATCTATACATAGAGCAGAATGTGTATGTGTGTATATATGAGTCGTATATAATTCAGTAAAATAATATAAAATAAATAATATTGTTTACGTAAAACTTACTAAGAATTAGCAAGAAATTTTTGGGATGACCTAATACATAAATTTTATATTTTCCTTCTTTTTTTTTTTATAGTTGACGAGTATAAAGGCTGCAGATAACAAAGAAACTCTTATGCATTACTTAGTATCTACAATAGAAAGGAAATTCCCAGAATGTTTGAGTTTTACTGAAGAACTGGCACACGTAGATAGGGCTAGTCGTGTCTCTTTAGATAACGTACAAAGAATACTTCGTCAAATGGATTCTAACATACGAAATCTTGAACAAGATCTTGCTAACGCTAGAATTCCTCAATGCGACGAAGATCTATTTTCGGAGGTCATGACTGTATCCTTTTAACACTAATAGATAATTTGAAGTTTTATTATAATGTATTAACGTAATTGCCTTAACGCTTATTCATCTAAACATAGCCATTTGCGAAGAAAGCAAGAGAATCTTGCGAAGTTTTGAAGAATATGTTTAAAAATATGGATGTTCTTTACACCGAGATATCTGTATTTTTCTGTTTCGACAAACAGAAATATACAATCGAAGAATTGTTCACTGACATAAGGACGTTCAAAGATGATTTCGTGGTAATTAAACAGATAAAATTAAGTTATTCATAGGTCAAAGTGATTAACTATCCTTTCAGAAGTTATTTAGTTTTTACTATTAAAACAATTGATTAATCAAGTAAACTGCGGTATTACGCGAGCTTTTATAATTTGAATTTTTATAACATGAGTTTCTACAATTTTACTATTGTAATTAATTTTTTATATTTACAAAAAATTTTCTTAATAATTACTACTAAATGAAAAAATAATTTGTATTGCCATTAAAAATAAAAAAATGATACGAATGAATTTTTTTTATTTTTGTTTTGAATAGTTAATCGTATTGACAAAAAAGTAGTTTAATTGATATTTTTATAACGATTTATAAAATAAATATATGACCTATTTGATTTGATTTGTTAAATCTTTTTAGCAAGCACAAAAGGAGATGTTAAAGTTACGAGAGGCGGAAGAGAAGCAAAGAAGAGCAAGAGAAGCGAGAGAAAAGGCGGAAGCTGAAAAGGCAGCACGTGCAGCAAGAAAGAAAGCACTTGTTGATATGAACGCTCATGATACTCAAGAAGGTGTTATGGATAGTTTGATGGAAGCACTTCGAACCGGTTCTGCTTTCAGTCGGCCAGACCAACGTCGCAAGAGGCAAACACGCATTGCTGGTGGTAAGCTTCTTAAGTCTTCACGTGGGACGTCGTAACATCCAAATGATACCGATTTTTATAATCGGTTCAATAATCCATGGTAAATCGATTGAATCGTACAATGGTATAGGTGTTCATACAAATCATTTCTTAAGGTACACTAAGTCTTGGAAAATATAATTTTCAAAGTTATTTTAAACCATGTTCCTACAAGATTTCACACAGGGGTCATTTTAATTGTATCTATATTAAAAATACGAAAGAACTACAAATTTGTCAAATGAGTCTTTAATTACAGGTACACTAGATGATACATCATTTAATTTAGTCACAGAAGAGAGTCAAAGTCCTAAACAGTCATTCATTAATTCTGTTTGTACACCTGAAACGAACGTTGGGATAAATTTTGTAAAGAAGCAATTTCTTACTGGCTACGCACGCATACTTACACCGGTTAAACCAAAACGCGTAATTATTACTAAAAGATATAAGAAAAATATAGTAGTTCAACGTGCTATTGTCAATCGTATAATAGTGAATAAAAATGGTAGAAGTATAAGACGATGTAAATCTTCTGGACATTTACCAAACAAAATGTCATTTATTAACAAACAATTTTGTAGTCCTCCAAACAGTAAGACGAGAAAGTTTTTCTCAACAATTGTTTCTTCGGAATTAAATTTTGCTTGTAATAATATAGGGAAGTTATCAAAATCTTTCGATTCTTTACTAACAATAAATAAGAAAAAGGTAGATTTATCTTCGTTAAAATTAACACGTACAAATAATTTGGAAAATATTACTGATCATATCGATAAAACTCCAAATAATATGTCAGCAAGATTTCCGACGGATCTAAACTTGACTCGGCCGCACCCACCTTATGTTACTGCCGTTATTAGAAAATCAGAATGTTCTAAACCTACTGAGATCAATAGTCTTGCTTTATCATTACCATATAATACTCCTTCGAAAAAAACTATGCAAAATAATAGTACTAATAATTCAACAGTAGAGGTAAAGAAAAATTTAGATTATAACTTTCACGATGTCGAAAATATTTTGGAAAAACTTTGTACTGGAATGGATAAAAATTATACCTCTATAGAGGAAAAGATGTACATTTTGAAAGCTTCGAATATTAAACAAGGAATTTATTAAAGATTGGACATGTTGGAAACAAAGTACATGAGATTTACAATATCGTGCTGAAAAATGTACAAAACCTTTTTACGATTTTTTTATCTTTTATTTATTATTTATTATTTATTTATTTTTTGAGATGATAAGACTGATCGAAGGAGTATATATACTTTTTCTAATATGATAGGTATTCCTTATTAGCAATTTTTAAAATATGTTTGTGTACCAGACTTATTTATAACGATTTATTAAAATGAACAAATTGCAAATATAATATTTTTCTAATTTTGAGGAAAATGCAATATGTTTTAAAACGATCAATTACAATGTGAAATATAATAAGACTTGTTCTGGACTGCACACATTAATGTCAATCAATAATTGTACGAGCTGCTTTTGTAATATTTGTTAATTAAATACATGCAAGTCATTTTTCATTGTTCCATAACTTCCCTCATAATTTTATGAAACATTTTTTCTTTTATTAAAGTCGCAACATCATCGAATTATCGTTCAATAAATATTTCTTGCTCGATCGGTAATACAGTAAAATGTCTTTTTTTTTTCTTCTTTTATTGTTTACATTACTTCGAAGGGGTAACTTAGCTCTTTTTTTTTTATCCTATTAATAAATTCTCGTAGACGTAAGTTTACAACGTTCATTCGTATTTTGACGAGATTAATTCAAGCCACGAATTTTATTTTCATTTTTACAGCAGAAAGGAGAGCACAACTTAATAGGAGTAGATCGCGAACAGGGCTAGTAGTTGGATCTGGTTTGCTTGGAAGAGAACCATGAACGTAAGTCTACTTTTGTTTATCTTATAATTCAAACTCTAAACAGCAATAATAGAAACGAAAAAACAACCATTAATTATTCGCGTATAAATTTGAGATATTTCAAGTATTAAATTATTATATAATTATACTATTAAATATATTTTTATAAAAAAGAAAATTGCTAACGAAAATAATTCTTCCAGAAATCTTTTAAGTTCAGCAGTAATATACCAGAATGTCAGATTTCCGTCCTAAACTTGATGCTGTGATGGTTTTACACTTCAATTATGTTTGGAATACCAGAGACAACTAGATAGGAGAACATGGTGTTCCATCCAGCACGACGCAAGAGATATCGCGTCCGGTTATTATTTGTTAATAATAGAATCGTCGGTTGGTAATAAGTTCGATAAAGTCTTCCTTATATACTTCAATATTATCTGACCATGAGTACAACGGTTCATCTTCTAATTCATGTAATGCAATTTTATATTTAAACATGGAGCTATGCATTAATATTCTAGAAAACCAGAAACAAGAAAGCAACAGTTATAACTGTGCTATGTCGAATAAACATTTCATAGTTATTTAATGAAATACTTATTGATATATAATACAATGCTACTTATCAGTGTCAGGTCTTTTAATACAGAAAATCAAAACTATAATAGAAAAAGGTAAAATAATATAGATATTTGACGAGTAGGAATCTATTATTTGGTGCATAATTATTTTGTTTAATTACGCTTTCTAAAACTTGTCGATTGTTGTTCGAAAGTGAATTGTTTCACTGTAAATCGAGTCAGTCGTACAAAAATATCTGTATACATATCCTTCACTATTTTATCTTTTTTTGTATTTTTTATGTTTTGTAAAATGTGCTTGTACGAGAACATGGAAAATAGTTCTGATTTAAAGACGATTGATAAATTTGGTGCTCGATAAACCCGTAAGAAAAAACTTTTCAAAACATCATGATAATCGATCAAAATTAATTAATCTTTATCGGGTTTAATTAATAACCAAAGATCAAGTAGCATTTCTTTGTCATTGTCAGCCGTTATGAAGATGATTATAACACTCAAACGTTGATGCAACAACGTTGATGTAACGATAGTTACATCGTCCTAGTGATATTTAAACACACATATATATATACATACGCGCGAACATACCTCGACATACTTGTGCAAAACGTCACACCGTATTGCCAATATATTTTATACATATATAGTATACATGCACATAAGTTTTGTATAGATATAATTTTGCAATGTTTCTATTATTGTATAATGTTAGATAAAGTTGAACAATTATAAGATTACTATAAAGTAATCATTGAAGAAATCAACGTACATATATATGTTCGTTTTTATTCCACTATATCATAATGATAATAGAAGCAAATAAATGTGTTCTTAATTATTGCTAAATAAGACAAAATATACATACACACAAAGAAAGAGAGGGGGAGAGTGAGAGAGAAGAGGGAAGAAACGCGTGCTCTTAATTGCGCACGTATTTTGTGATATATGCAATTGTTTTTCTACTTTACGAAAGCATTATTTACATTATAAGAAGGAAAAGCAGGTGTTTTCTATTATTCTTTCTCGCAATGTAGCATGCATTTGAAAGTATCGCATTTATAGGAAAATGTTCAAATATAGACTTGCAAGTCGATATTCAGGTTTTTTTTTCTTTTTTTTTAAAAGTGAATTAAACACTGGTGCAAGTTCCAATCAAGTGAAATGTTTGTACATAGTTGCTAAATCGTCTAACTCTAACGAGGCACAAACTTTACATTTTATAAACTGCTAAATATAATATAAATGTAAATATATATAGAATACAAAATATGTTTAAGGATAAGTAGAAAAATTGATTATTAGAATTTAGAGAAAGAAAGTTTTACTCTGATTGGTATAATCATGAGAATGATAAGTACCATTTTTTCGGTAATACGGTGCCAAATTTCAGATTATATGTATACCTATGTTGTACATATATACATATATCATAGACAAGGGATATATTCATCTTTTTCATTATCTATCTTTAAAATATTAGTTTATTTAACGATATATAAATCTTATATAATCGTACCTAAAAAAATTGCTATACAATACACAATTGAATTTATTTTTCGAATCTCAAAACTCGTACGCAGTCAAAATTGTTCATATTGTAGTTTAAAATATTGAATTTTAGGAGACAATTGTATCTATACTGTGAATATGTGAATTTTAATAATATTAATGTATTATTATTGGTACATAACATATTATCAATTTTATTCATTTGATATTCCCGATATGTAAATATAAGAAAGTGTATCAAAAGTCGCTACACCAAGAAATGAAAAGCAAAACTAAAAATCAATACTGGTTTATTAATAAAATTGTTTTTTATATAAGGATATAAATGTTTAGTTACAGTGTCGTTAAAAATGTATGAGCTAACGATGGGCTTACTAAATACTTATAGAGAAAAAATTCTAATTTTTTAGTTCGATAAAGCGATTGTTGAGACATTCTGTATTATATTATAGATAATTTATTCATATAAGTGCTGGTAATTATGATAGTGGACTAAGTTAAAAATTTTTTTAAATTAATTTTATAATTTATTTTATATTACAGTTACTGATATCGGAAAATAAATGATAATATTACTGTTTTTTATTTGTAGACTTAGCTCATTGTCATAATTTGGGACACACATATTACATGTGAATAAAAGTAGGAGTTTAAATAACTGCGACGTTAAAAGAAAACTAAGAAAATGTATGTTTTGTATCTCTTCTTGCAAGAGCAAGTTACTTCGTACTTTTTCTCAATAAGGATGGAAAGTGAAAAGCGCGAGAAATCCCGTTTGGCTAAATACTTCCAATAATGGAAAGAAGAAATTGCCATTTTTACGAAAACGACGATGGCGCGAGTAAGGAATGATTGCGAACGTTTAAAAATGCATATTTGCAATCGAAACTATCTAACTCCTATCTAAATGGTATTTTTAATTAAACGAAGGACGTTACGAGCTATATATTGTAGTTATAATTAACGTTTACTTATCTAAGTTTCCTACCATTACCACGTTTCAGTTTTATAATACTCATGTAATTATAGTCATGTCATTAATGATTAGTCATAATTTTTGCTGCGATTAACTGATCTTCGATATTTTGCTAACGCTAATAATTGTTTTGTCTCTCTTTAAAAAGTAACGAGAAATAAACAATTTTAATTGCTTTCTATCATTTAATCTTAGATTTTCTATTTTTTTGTAATTTTTTTTCTTAAACATAAAAAGGATATGCATTATTTTTCACGCAAGATAAATTTGTTCTTAGAAGTGCGTGAGAATCCGTAAATATTGAAAACACAATGGTTCGGGAAGATTCAGGTAAAGTAAAATATTTTACGACTAGAGATTTAAACAAAACATTTGGGAACAGAATTCGAATTTTTTTGCACATATTTTTGAAAAATATTGTTCTCAAATGTTTCCTTTTTGCGGGAAAAATACGAGTCAATGGGAAGTCCCGGTTATGATGACGTCATCGAAGAGAAGATTCCTAAGCTATTTAAAAAAAATAGGCGCGCGATTTAATTTACATGAAAGCGAATTTAAAATCAATCTCGTTAAACTACTATCTCCGATAAATCGTCGACCAATCGGTGATCGTATCGACAACTGCATCGATCTTTCTCTTGTCGCTTTCGTTCATGTATATAATATGGCCGTTCGACGGTTCGACTCGTTCCACGTTTTTCACTTTTCAAAGTTTAACTTCGTCAAAACTCGTGAGAATTCGTTTCCACGAGCCAATCAGAATGGTGGCGTGTTTAAGCAGGTGTTTGTGTTTAATATACGCATGCAAATCGGAGCAGCCGAATTTTCGGTGGAGTAGTCCTCGTCAGTCCTTGTTCGCTCGTTATACGTAAATTGGTAAATAAATATATAAATAAATTCAAATTTGTAACTCCGTCTAAACTGAAGATATTTAAATTCGTTAATTTCTTTTCAATCAATCGTTCGAATAGGATAAAAAGATTAATAAAAGGGTAGTTGTTTTATGATTAATTGAAAAATAAACGTTGAAGAAGCAAATTTTGATTTCGAGATAAGAAAACACTTGCTGTATGTATGTATATATATTGTTAACTTTTCATAAGGAACACTGATAAACACTTAAATATTTATTACCAAAAAAAAAACAAATAAAATAAATTATAACGAATTTAGATTTATTGCTATATATATATATAAACAATATTTTGAATTAAAGTTTAATTATGAAAAATATATATATATATATACCTAATATTATAAATATTCAACCAAACGAAAAAATTAATAGCAACAACGAAATAATAAATGAATACTCGATGAATTTGAATGAATCATTTCGAACAGTTTTATTGGTTCCTGTTGTTAAATTTAAATAGAAAATATATCATCCTTTGTTCGGTATCGTGCGAGTAGCAGTGTTCGAATGGATCGAGATTGGCGGGAATTGAGCAGCAAGTTAATGTACATGCCAGTTTCGTAGTAGTAGTAGTAGTAGTAGTAGTAGTAGAATTATATAGTAGTAGTAGTCGTTGGTCGGAAACCCGCGAACGTTGTGCTCGGCTCGGTGGCACTTGTAGTTCGATGCCGGAGACCGTTCAGAGTTGACCGTGCGCGCGCGCGCAACACAGCAGACGTTCTTACCTGCTCAGTATTGGATTTACCTTTGACTCATTTATATCGTTTATTATATTGTTACTTCCTCTGTGTTATGTTATATCGTTCTTCTTTTTTTTCTTTTTCTTATTTTTTTTCGGAGGGTTATCTCATATGTGTTTTTCGTTATCTACCACTCCAACAATAGTGCTTTTCGTGAGGAAGAATAGAATGCTAAGGATACCATGAACGTACCCATCGTGTCAGGCGACATCGCGGACGATGATGATTACAAGCCACGTTTCGTTAGGGTAAGTTTTATTTGTTTAAATATATTATTTTTCTTTTGTTTTGTTATTTCTTTTTTTTTTTTTTTTTTATTACGATATTAATGATATTAAGTGTTAATAATTAATTGTTCACTCGTATCTTTTATTAATCGTTCTGTGAATTTTTATCTTTGTTTGATTGTAATATCAATCGATTAATCAACAGTTCATACGAATTGTATGCGAAAAATTGTTTTCTTTCAATATTTTTTAAAATGAAATATTTTGTATTAAATAATATATAATTTTAGTTTTGTTTTATCTCTTTATACGCGTCGTCAAGTCAATTTTCATTTCGATTTCGTTATAATACCAATCGGCTGATCAGGTGGTTATGCGAAATTGATGAAATTGTTTTTTTTTTCGATTTATTAAATGAAATTTGTTATGCAATTTTATAAAAGAATATACTTTAAAATAACGAATTATTTTGTTATTATTATTACGCGATATTTAATAACAATATTATGGAGGTATTCAATAATATCGTTTTTGTTATTTCATAATAATAGGTTACCGTAAGATTTATTAGTATATATACTAAGCGTTTAATACTAAACGTTTTATCATTTTAATTACTTAAGTAACGTGTATACGAAATTATTTGTTATTTTTAAAACAGATAAATATATATTCGAATGATATACATATATAAGTACTTACGTATTATATTTGAATTCGATATTATTAAAATCAATGACACAATAATTTAACAACTTGCTTATTATTTCTATTTATTATTACCGAAGTAACATTGTATTCAACATACATAAGCACCGTTAACGTCTCTTAAAGTTGTCGTTCCAATCAATCAGCTGCCTTTTCGCATTAAATTACATTGCTTTCCTCGAGTTCACGATTTATCGATTTATGAACGATATAATGCATCTTCTTTTATCGTTTTTATTTAAAAAAAAAAAAAAAAAACAACAAACGTTTAGAGTCTATAACTAATCAACTACAATCATAGACGATTCACGTTGATCACAAGTATAACTGGGTTAAAAAGTTCTCGATTAGTCCCGAAGAAGTGGAATAAGTGCAGTTTAAGCATAAAACGTACTATATTTATAACAATATTTAAAGATTTCGTTAACGATGTTAAATGAAATTTTAAATGTAAACGTGGCTAACGATAAGCACATTAATGATTATTTTATTTAAATGGATTTGATTTATATTTTTTTTTCGAAATCGAAAATGTATGAGATGATACGATAAATTTGACTTACTTCGTCCTTTACCCCAGTCGTTATTACTTACTTCGAAGATAGGAATGAAAATCTAAGCGGTCATTATCGGATGGCGCAAGGAAGATGAAGAAAAATTTCCTTTCACTCGGAGGTATCAGTATACGTTTCCTAAACATTTATATCGAGATATTCTTTTTAGGTTTGTCACGGATTATCATAAGAATTTTTACGAACAAATAAATAGAAAGAAAAAATTTCAATGAATCGAATAAGTGGTCTTCAATCAAGTTTATGTAGAAGATTGTACATAATATATTTCATTTTATGAAAAAACTTAATTTTTCTCCATAATATATTTAACAATATAAAACAATTAATAAATTAAATAGTTGAATACTTTTTTTTTTACTAAAATTTATATAATTTATATGTTTCTACACGGGATGTATTATTCTCTATCGAAAGTTGTTTTTTTATTTCTTGTTAGATCTCTTCGTAGTTATAACAGAAATAGAAAGACAAACAAGAAATTATTTTTCTAAGAGGAAAATAAAAAAAAACGTGTAAAAAATATGAAAACAATAACCACAAATTCCAATGATATGATTCATAACATGATCACTGTAACGAATATGAGGAAAGATGGATATTTTATTGTAGAAATGATTGTTTTTATCTAAAGGAGATATTAAAAACCGATTAGTCGTTTTCTAACAATTGCTGTGTTATCTAATTTCATCCTCCATATTGGTATATGCACATTGTTATCTCGCAAGGTAAATAGACAAAGAGAGAGAGAGAGAGAGAGAGAGAGAGAGAGAGAGAGAGAGAGAGAGAGAGAGATAGAAGAAGATAAAGAAAAGAACAATTTTTTGTCTCATTTAAGTAAAATTATATTTTTCTAACGATAAAGTATTCTTTTGTAATAAAATAATTGATATCAATTTGATGAAAGTTGAATAATCTTATAAAAATAAGTTTATGTATAAACAATTTTAAAAGCTTTGCATTACAGGTATATATCAATTATTTCAAATTTACAGTAAAAGAACTGATACAAATATTCCTGTGACTCACTGTATATGTATGAACGTATATAGAGTTGTTGTTATCTCTTAACGTGGAAACTGTAATACGCACGAGCCGTGACTTTGATGCACGTATATCGTGAATGTGAGTAGCTTCGCATGTGGATACATTTCTTCTGTTGCTGTTGGTACCTTAAAGACCTCTATAATTATTTCAATGAAACAAGGAAAGAGTCACCTACCTGACTTACTACTATTGTTCCCGCATGATTTCACGTGTCACGTTTCGTTTCGTTCTCTCACGATCTTACGAAAATTTCTTCCATTCTCTTTTCATTTTTCTAATGTAAGATCTAAACATTCAACGAACAAATGATTTAAACAGGTCTTTTTTGTTTTTGTTTGTTTGTTTTTTCTGTTTTTTTTTTTTTATTTTGCTTTTATAAAATTTATCTTCCTGTATTCTTATTGACGATCAATTTAAATGCAAGACATTCGTTTTTGTATTTATTCATTACTACATAATTATTATTGTAGTAATGAATGGTAATTGTTGTTTTTAATTATTCGAATACTAATTAATTTATTCTTTTGATTTTATATATATATTAAGTAGATAATTATTAATGATTTTATAGCAGGTTTCACTTTGCACTATTTTCTCCTAATGATTATTATTCTTATCATATTATTATTATTATTAGTATTATTATTACGATCATTATATTATTGTAACTACTGTACACATTATTATAAGACTCTTAAGTCTAGATATTTTTTTTCCACAAGATCCGTTTTATCTCCTCTTGTGTTTACTCGTTTTGTGTAGACCCTTCTTTTGAAACTACTTAACTCGTTAAAACAAATATTTTCTAAGGTATTTTTTTAAACTCACTAGAGATACAATTCGAAGTATGACCTATAATCACACTATTTTAAAATTTACTTTTGACTTTTACAAATTTATTTATTTACCATCAATATTCAGATAGTTGTTCGTTGGTAAAAATGTTTGTATAAGAACAAAATTAAACATTAATACCGGTTCAAGTGTTAAATTAATTCGATCTAAATAATTATAAAATAGAAGTAAATAATTAGAAAGTATTAAATGCTTACAATTTTAATCTTAATCTCTTCATTAACTTACTAACCAGGAGTATACAAAAAATTAGATCAATGTAATTCATCAGTATATTATTATATTATGTATAATATGAGATATTTTTATTGTAACACTTATAAAAATCTTGATTTCCTCGAGAATATATGTATATAACGAATAATCTAGTATTTTTCCACTTGACCTGTTTCTTATTATTTTTTTTTAAATAATAATTACTAATTATATCGCTATCGTGTATGATAAAAAAAGATAAAAAAAAGATTTGATAAAAAACGTCATCGTACTGGTAGATTTTTTTGATCGATATAAACACGTGTCATCTGTTTCCTCATTGACGTTCATTTCTTCTCGTAATTTCGTAATGCAATCATCTCTCAATGCAAGGCAATCCTTGCATAATAATAAATCTAATAGATGGGTATGAGAATAATGTCGTTGTGTGGTACAATAATTAACGTTTCAAGCGTATGTGATTTTTTCGACCCTATTTATATGTATGAATTAGGATTTCTTCAATTTGTTCACTTGATAATCCCTTTTTATCCGAGTAAATATTTTCACGACATATTAAGTATAAACTCTATACTATCTTCTTTTTCATTATTATAAATTTACAGACATATTTTATGTGTATATTCGTAGTCAAACTAATTTTGAATTTATTTTCGGTTATTGCGTGTCCGAAAATTTGTGAGTTTTGTTAAAATTTCTATAATTCTTAAGTACAGTTATGCGATCCTATGTGGGTACTTCGTTTTCTTCAAATTTAAACAATACAAATAATATTATTTCAAAATCTTTAGATTGTCGATACAAATTTTAGAAATAATCACTTCAGACAATTTTCAATATTTCCAGTTTCATCTTACATATACTATTTTCTATATATATTGTTTCATGAATGTTATTTTTCTTTCATTTTATTTAACTCATCTTTCATCGAGTTCTAAGACGTCCTATTTGAAACTTATGTAGGTTATGCATATATGTATGTATATATACGGATGGTAATTAAAACGACGCAAAACCTTTGTCCGATATAAAAGAAATAAGATGATTTACAAGAGTAACGCGTGTAAAAACGATAAGTTTGAAAAAAAATTCCAAGCTTAACAGGCGGCACGTAAAGGAAACCTCTTTAGGACGGAATACGCACGGAAAACACGTGAAGCGAACGAAGAACAGCAGTAGGCGACCTTGCGTACATAATCTACTTTCAAATGAGGCTAACCAACACACAAATATAAAACATACACTCTCAGATACAGATAACCACAAGAGAGAATATCGCGGGAGGATGAGAATAAGTCTCTCTCTACTAGTTTGTATGTATGAGAGTGGTCGAACTCGTTACAAAAATATTCGAATTCTTCTCGAACCGGTCCGATAAATCTGACAAATTGTAAAAACAATCATGCCACTCGTCGACTGACACAAGTGCTAATTATTACTAAGAATTATATACCAACTTTGAAATTATTTTGATCTTATAATCAGTAATGAAGATTTTAAATATTTACGAACGTGATTAACTTTTTTTCTAAATATTTATTTTTTATTTTTTTTATGAACAATGAAGTTTTTTCAAATATTTAGATGTATATATAAGCTATAAATATTTTTAATACAACAGTA